CGGTTTTTGTCGTTTATGGAAAAATCAACATTTGACGCAAGATCAAATAGAGTGTAGGCTGGTAAAGGGTTTCGTCGGTGATGTAAAATACCGTTTCGTGATTGATATGGATTCATTAAGGAGTTAGATGCTCATCGGAAAGATGAATGAGTGAAGCATATTTGGACAAGCTATCCTATGATAATTGGTAAATGTTTTGATGTGAAAGCTTAGGACTTCAGAAGGTATTTGGTAATGCCTGTGCTACAAACATGCTACAACCTTGCTAAAAAAATTTTGCCTTTGTAGCAAGGTTTTCTTTTTATAATCAATGATTTATAAGAAATGCTACAAATACTACAATTATATTGCTGAAAATAATAAAAAGCTCATGGAAAGGTTGCGTTGTCTGCAAAGAGAAACCCGCACCAGAGTAAGGCCGAATGCAGGTGTCTAAAATATTGGATAGATATATTTCTTTCTACTTATGTTTAATCAAATCTCAGCAAAGTACTGTCAATACAGCTTTTCAGGGGAAAGATATTCTAAAAAATTGCACAAGTTGGTTCGACATTTTGTCGGGGGATTCCGCAAGAACGACAAAACCCGCTATAGTAGCGGGTTTTGTCGTTTAATTTACTTTGCTTACTTCTCTTATCCCATTCATTATAAGACATTTAGGGTTCGAATCCCGTTCACCTGAAAATTTGAAACTGCTTCCAATTAGGTGGCTTAAAGCACGATCTTAGCATTATATTGGCGGTAGAACTTACTGTTCGTTTCATTTTTTTTCTTAATTCATCGGCTTTTAAAATCATCTATATGCCGATAAAAATCAATGTTCCTTTTAGCCAGAAAGATGAGGCAAAAAAACTGGGTGCTGTATGGGTTCCTGATGCAAAAACATGGATTATTCCCAATAGTATTAAAGATGTAAATCCATTTAAAATATGGCTCCCGAAGGAACAAGCATCTTTTGTTAAATACCCATACCTACTAGCCGTCAGCAGTCGGATATGTTGGAAATGTCACAAAGAAACGCCGCTTATAGGATTGGCTGCAAAGAATTATATTACAAGTGTCTTTGATTCTACTCTTACTGAAATATTCTGGAGTGTATATGATTATCCTGTCTTTTTTGTAGCCATCAGATCTTTTGACGACGAC